TAATATAGTTTATGAGCAATATATTAAAAAAAAGATTTACAATCAATTAAAATTATTAATTTAAAAAATTGTATAAAAATATATTAAATTATATTTAAATGAAGTTTTAATACAAATAATAATATTTCAATTTTACCTCGACCCTTAACCTCCTATGGCTACGTGATTAGGGTTGTCAAAATGGATTTTCGTTCGTGAACAGCTCGTGTTCGACTCGCTAAGGAACCGAACCAAACACGAACATGTTTTTTTGTCTTTGAAATATAAACGATCCAAACACAAACAATAATACTTTTTAACTGAACATCGGCTTGTCTACACCCCTAGTTCTACATCACTAACAATATGTAGCAATTGTTTAATTAAAATGACTCGAGTTTTATTTAGTTTCATAATTAAATTTCAAGAAAAAGGAATTATTTCCAACTATAAAAAACTCAAGAATGAATCATAAGTTCATTAGTAAATAATAGGTCTGTACTAGACGTTCTAATTGCCAGTAATCATATATATATATATAAATTTCATTTCAAATCCATAATATATAACCTTCAATGTCCCTAAGCTTGTTATATATACTAATTCTAGTGCAGATCTGAGGAATATAATGCACCCTACCTGACATAAGTTTTATAGGGACATATAATAATCGTTGTAATATGCCATTTTTTTAATGCCTCGTATGATTTAATAATAAAAAAATAAAATGCTGACATCTAATTAGGAGCGTGCTTGCCACGCATTACAGTTGCCAGAAAATGTACAGAAGTGAAGGGCGAAAATAGCGTGTTCGACGTAATCAAGCAGGCCCAGGACTTGTGCATGAAATTAATTTTTAAGTTTTAACATATTTAGCGCCCAATTCTTATGTATTTAGGGGTGTCAATGAAGCGAATACGGATGAATAAAGTTTGTGTTCGTATTCGGTTCCTTTAAATTCAATTTGTTTGAAATAAGCTCGTGTTTGAAATTGTTCGTATTCGTTTCTTAACGAATGAGCCGAACTTGAGCTGTTGGAGAATGACGAGCCAGTTTGACATCCCTAATATTAATATATATAAAGAATATATTATATTAATTATATAACTTATATTATATGAATATATAATATCTATATTAGTATATTACTAATATATTATTATTATTAATTTATTATAAATTATAATCTATAAGTATTAATTTTTTAAAATATCATAGATTTTTATATATAATTATTTTAAATTATTTTATATTTCGAACAATAACGATTTGAATATAAACGAACGTATCACTGTTCTTGTTTGGTTTGTTTAACTAACCGAACGAAAAAAATTTGTTCACGTTCGTCTCGTTTACTTATCGAACGAACCGAACACGAATTCATTGACGAACCGAACACGAACTGTTCGCGAACAACGAGTTTTTTTTTTACAGCCCTATTTGTATTTACGTATAATACACCAAAACTTAGATTTTTACAAAAAGAGCACCTCATCTATATATGAAAATGTGGATTTCCACTGTTGAAAGGTATATTTAGGAAGGAATTGAGGGTTGTGTTTGTATGCAAATGAGAGTTTTGGTGTGAGTTGCGTAAATGGATATGAGTTGGGTGCTATGTATGTAAATTTCTCTTTAATAAAACAAATTTTTAAAAAATATATTCAAATAGTCAATTTATTATGTTATAGTTCAACCTGACCCGGCCCGATATGACCCAAAAAAATCTAATCAATTTTGGTCAAATCTATTACGCTTACTTGAAACCAGCCTAAACCTTCCCTAAGTTTTGATTTAACGTAAATTTTTCGTGTCAAGCTAGAATCGGGTCCAAATTGGCACCCCCTAACAAATGACATATAATCCACATCATCTTGTTTGAAAATAATAATGCACATGTATGTCAAAAAAATTCCCGTGCTGATTTCAATAGGATTTGGCAGTAGCAGGGACTAGTCGACCACCCACACAGTAAGCATACCAGCCCACCAGTCGGTCACTCACATCCAACCGAACAACCAACAAGCCGACCACCCATATCTAGCCGAATAGCTAACCAATCGACCATCCACAGTCGGCCAACAACCACACAACCAGCCGACCAACCAACCACCACACAACCAGCCGACCAACCAACCACCACACAACCAGCCAACTGGTTGGTCCCCCACATGTAGCCGACCAACTAATTAGACGACCCCCCACAACTAGCTGACCATCCGACCACCCAGAGTCAGCCAACCAGCCGACTAAAAGCTAGCTCTGCCGACTAATGTTCTCTCGAACGATAGCCTCCAATGAACAAAAGACTAGAATACCCAGTACTGCCCCTTTTAATTAATGGTAACATCGTAATTTTACCTTTTATCCTTCTACGATGTATAAATAGGAGAACTCTTTCATGTTTTCAAACTCTTTTCTGGATTCTCCTCTATCTAACTATCTCAATCGATGAAATAAACAGGGCCAAAAGTATGAGAATATCCCGTTTTGGCCCTTAGGGTCAAGTCCGTATGCTCTCTCTCTCTCTCTCCCTCTCTTTGTTTTTCTCCCTCCTGGTTCCCAATGCTCTATATATTGGGTATGATTTAACAGACAGTTCTGGATTCAACATCCTAAAAGGAGTGGTGAACGTATGATCATGCCACAATTAAAAGGAGCACATCAAGGAGGAGAAAATCCTACACAGACATTCCAAACATGGGATACACAAAGAAATCATCCTCAATGCTCGAGACATCTGGAAAACCCATGTCTAAACTCAAAACAAAAAGAGCTTTGAAGGTGGTTCCCTGCCCAATAGCGACAAGTTCCGTGAAGAAAACGACACAAATCACCTAAGTAGTGAGTCTCGACGGTTACCCTTGTGAAAGCCGCAACAAAATCAAACTTAAAACCTGAAGAAAGGTGTAGTCTGATTGATGCGATAATCCAATAAAACAAACAGGACGGGCGAGGAGTAACACTCGAGCTGGGCTATATTATATCAAAAAACCGAATTACTGTCTTCTTAAGGACTGGGTTGTTAATCACCACAGAGCAAAAGTCAATGCAAAAATCTAAAGATAGTGCATCAAATAAGCTAAAGCATGACACAAAAGATTGTTAAAAACAATGGGAGTTTAATTGATGCATCATTGTGTCGCATTTTTGTATTTATAATCTATCATTCTTATCATAGCTTCACTTCTAAGAGATAAGACCCTCGGCGGACTTTCATGTATGTCAAAAAATGCCTGAGCGGAGCTTCATGGGATTCGACGGTAGCAGAGAACAGGCGGCCACCCACAACAAGCTGACTAGTTAACCAACCGACTAGTCAGCCACTCATATCCAGCCAACATGCCGACTAGCTGACCAGTCATAATCAGTCGACCAACAACCCACCCACAGTCAATTGACCAGCCGGCCACCACACAGTCAGCCGACAAACCAACCACCCATAGTCAGTCAACTAACCGACCACCACACAATTATCTGACCAGCCAACTGAAGGCCAGCTCTACTGACTGATAAGCTCCGGAACCATAAGCTAAGATGAACAATAAAGTAGAATCTCTTTACTACCCTGTTTAAGCAATGATAAAATTGAATTTTACCTTTCGTCCTCCAACAATTTATAAATAGGAGGGTCCTTTCGTGTTTTGGGACTCCATTTTTTTTTATTTTCT